TTAGCGATCACAAGATATGTTGTCTTTTTGTAATGTGATGTATCTATGTTATTTATCTAGAAGTATGTTTTCGCTGCAGACTGACAAGTGGTATCAAATCTTCAAGTTGTGACTAGGAGATGATTCTTTTGAGAGGTGAAGTACATAAGAGACAGACTATCACAGGTTTAAGTTGTAGGGGAGTGGTTCAAAATCTGGCGGCAAAAATTTGGCATGGTAGGTGCGCTGAATGCTGCAGAACTTGAAAGGTTACTTGTGACTTGATGCCCGTGATGGTGGAGCGCTATCTCGTCGGTTCATCAATATGAGAAAAACTCTCACGTTCATCGCTGTGGATGGAAAACTCGCCAAGGTGGAGATTGTTGGGAGATATACTCGCTTTCCTATTTGTTACCATGTGAAATTGTAGTCTTTAGGAAAACTATTTATAAAGAATACAATTGTAAATAGAATATAATTTAGGAGTCCTTGGAATTGAAATAGAATTTTATAGAAAAGAATCTCATATTTAACTATAAATATAAAGGTGGGAACCAACTTAAGATTCTAAGAGAAGGGGAAAAACACATGGCATTTGATGTAAGGGGTATAAACACCTCGAGGAGGGTCTTAAAAAAATGGTTATGTTCCTCTTAGGTATGGTTGAGTGTGGTTAGAAACTAGGATTTTTTCTTGCCCTATTATATGCACCAAGTTATAGTATGTGTTTACTGGTTCAGAAACACAGAATCTTTCATCGTGGAGTAGGCGGTTAGCCGAACCTACGTAAATATTGGTCTTTGTGTGATGTGATTTTATTATATTATTATCTCGAAAGTATGTTTTCCGCTGCGCGATCTCCTGACAATAATCATTGTGTTGACATCAATGCTGTTTGTTTTGTTTTGTTTTGTTTTTCAGTGTTTAAAGCTTACAAATGTGGCAGAAAGCTAATTTACACTTACCTTTCATATTGTGCTCTGATGCCAGAACCTGTTATAACTCTTCTAGTTATTATCTGTATAATCTATTTTACTAGGAAATCCAGTTCTATAGTTTTGAATCTGAAGCTCACTAATCAACCACATCTTCTTAAAAATTTCTGATGATGATTTGATATTCAAGTTTTCTGCCTTTTTTTCTGGTAAATTTCACATTTATACCCGGATGTACTTTTTCTTCTTTGTTTCTACGGTGTAGAAGGCCCTTCTATATTTCTTCTTGTCCATCCACTGCAAGATCATAACTCTGGGCCTTTTAAAGTTTCTCCTCAAGTGAATGCACTATTTGTATTTTTTCTTTCTTATTTGTAATTATATCCTCTTTATACGCTTATAATTTGCTAATAATTGAGACTAATAGGGATTTCCTTCTTGGTCCATTGTTGCAGTGATCTTCTACAATAACTACACCAAACATGTGTACAGAAGCGGTAAAAAAAAATAATAAAAAACTGATCAAATTTTGGTTTGATTCCTTAAACACCCTTAAATTTTAACCTTTAAACAGTAAATTAAACTTATACCGAAACTTTTCATGGAAGAACCACACAGTAAGAGTATTCTCTCCTCCATTTATGGTCAACCATTAGTTTTAAGTATTTACTGGACTGGGGTATATTAAATATACTATATATACATGCCTCTTTGCCTGTGCACTAACATTTTTAGATGCTCATGTTAACTAGAAGTGGACTTTCATGCTCCGATGAAATTGCAGCTTAAAAATGAGTGGTAAAATTTCGGATAAAAATTCTGCAATTACTTAAATTTTTTGATTATAATACTAATTGGAATATATTTTCCGAATCTTCTAGGACTTATATATTTTTGTAAAGTCTTATTGTCGATTATGAACTTTGTGTGCTTATTTGTCCTTAGGCAATGTGGATTCTATGTTAGTTTGCACATGTGATAATATCCTGTGAATGTGTCACAAATATCTATGTCTATGATGTGAATGAACAGATTATGTGGACACATTTCTCTGATGTGCAAACATTCCGTTTCCCAGAATAGGTGACTTTCTTTATGATTTTAATGTTTCTTTAGCATGATATTTGCATTGCCTCATCTCTTACCAATGTCACTCTTCAAAAGGTGACCAAGGTCTTATGACAAGGCGTTGCGGTGGAGATGATTTTGGGCAAGGCTTTATAAAGACATCTTTTTCCTTGCCGTTTCTTTAGACCTGATTTGCTAAACTTCCATTGATGCTTTGAAATTTTCTGAGTACAATTTATTCAGGTTCTCTTTGTTTGTGATTTATCTTTATCAATCACTTTGTTGATCTTTGAGTGTAGGTACTTGGTTCCTCATATTGTTTGTGAGCTTAAAGAGAGTTAAGCTAAGGAGTTGAAGGGAAGCTTCAACCATTGAAGCTTGAGGGGAGTTCAAGCTGTCCATGAGGATTTTTGGAGGAAGCTGATCGTGACAGGACCTTAAAGAAATCAGAGAGTGAAGTTTAATGTATCGTAGAATAGGGAGTTTAACTTTGTTGTATCTAAATTCAACTCTAGATTGTCTTGCAACGGTTTGTGTTATAGTGGATTAACTTCGATCTGGACCAAGTCCCATAGATGTAGGCTAAAAGTGGTTTTAGCCGAACCATATATCTTCTTGTATGCTTTACTTTCATGTTCATGGTTGATTGATATTTTGGTTGTTTAATGATCATCAAGAAAATTAGTGTAACACCCATCCATAACCATTCCTCTGTGTTTGAAAAAGAGTTGACAAACTCTTTCAATTGATATCAAAGCAGGATCTGATAATTTTCTTCAGATCGATTGCCTGGTGTTTGATTCTTTGTTTGATCTACTTTTTATGTGTTACACTTGCTCGGATGAGCTCACATTTTGTGTTCTGTTTTTCGGTTAAACTGACTTTTCTTCCTTGATTACTCAAATTGGAAACCTAGGATGAGAGCAATTTTTAAATCTTTAGATGAGAGAGTTTGGACTGCTGTTGTTCATTGTTTTAAAAACCAGACTGACGAGCAACCTGCTCTGATGGCCGGGTCATGGTTCAACCAGTTCAACCGGTTGGATCGATGATGTCATCACACATTATGATGACGTCAGCATATTTTTAAAAATAGAAGCATATCAATATAGTTATACTGAAATAGGCTTGATAAAAGTAATATGGACAAGAAAGGGTAAGCAATAAACACTATCCAGCTGTATTGTCACACTTGATATTGATCAACACAAATCTTCTGCAAATATTTTTCTATTTTTCCTCAACTTTTTAATTTATTAGTAGTGAAACCACTCTTAAGTTTAATGTCAGAATAAGTAACTCAATATATAATTATTTCCTCTGAAATAAGTATAATCCAGAAATGACATTTCAATATGCAATATCAATCTTGCTAGAGTTCAAACAATTGATTGGCCATCTAAAACTTGATATGCATGCGGCAATCTATTATTATTACTACTATGTTTTGATACAATTCAGATCAAGATAAAGCTAAGTTGATGACAAATCCTAAGGGTGAAAATGACAAACAAGAATCTAAATTAATAATATAGAATACTACAACTTGTTAATGGACTAAAATTGTGGGACAGATGGAATAATAGTTATTGGTCATAAAAACATGTTCATATATAATTTCTAATAACCAAGTCTATGTAACAACTACTGAAAACTAGTACCATGCATGCATAATAACAATATAAAATTGGGCCCCAAAAATTTCTTTTCATTAGAAATCATATGTCTTTTATACACAAAGATTACTGTTTACAAAAATGCATTTTAAAAGACAAAACAGGGGAAAACAGTGTAGCTATTCCTCTTCGCTTGCCGACGCCCCTCCGACTGCGTCATCACCTAGAACCTGCATCCACAAAGGAAAATAACGGGGTGAGCACNTGATAATCTTTACGATGCTATTAAGGTTCTTAATATGATGGTTAGAAAGGGTGTAGCCCCAATCCATCTACTTTCAATACCATATTCAGATGAATTGCAAAGGTACTGGATATGAATCCGACATATGCTTAAGATGAAGGGAGTTGAAATGTGAGCCAAATTCTGTGACTCATAATACTTTGATGCAAATAATTGCTACCTCAAAATCAATTGACATGTTTATCAAACTGGAAAAAGGAAAGGGGATGAGTATGACATTGAGCATAATGTGATATGGGGCATCGGGTAAAATGAAGCGTGGTGGTGTTAATGCATTCGCTTCTTTTTACTACATACGATCTGTTAGCTAATAGCTCTCAATTAGGAGGAGCAGTAATCTCCACTACTTCAATTCATTTCTCCTGATATTCTTCTCACACTTTAATCAGATTAATATGAATTATATAATGCCTCACGTAAGAGTATTCTCTCTTTCTATTTATGGTCAACCATTAGTTTTAAGTATTTACTGGACTGAGGTAATATTAAAATAAAATATGTTACTATATATATATGTACCTCTTTGCTTGTTGTACTAACATGTTTAGATGCTCATGTTAAATAGAAGTGGACTTTCATGCTCCGATGAATATTCCAGCTGTCAAAAATGTGAGTAAGATTTCCTGGGATAAAAATTCTGCAATTACTTAAATTTTTGCTGATTTATAATCTAAATTTGGAATATATTTTCCAGAATCTTCTAGAACCTCATATATTTTAAGAACACTCACCATATTCTGTCAACAGAAAACTACTTGTTGCATCTGTATTGGAATTTATTAAGATAGTCAAGCTGAACAAAATAGTTCTATCATTCACTATTTCCCAGACCCACGTGGTATTGATCCTCTTGCTTGCAAAATGATAATGATCTTATTCATATTAACTCTTTAAATTTTAATGATCCTTGTGGCAGATTATCAATCACTTCATATTAACTGTGGAGGACAGGATGTAACCATCAAGAATATTTAGTATGAAGGTGATCTATTTGCCGGAAATGGAGCTACTTTTAAATTATCATAGTGGAACTGATTGGGGATTCATCAGTACTGGAGACTTCATGGGGGATAATGGACGGAATGACAATGGTTATACTTTCCTGAGTTGTACTCTACAGCACGTGCATCTCCTCTTGTTCTCACCTATAATGGATATTGTTTGGAAAATGGAAAGTACACGGTAAATCTCCACTTTGCGGAAATATCATTCAATGATGAAGAACTATATAATAGAGTTGGAAGACGTATATTTGATATTTATGTTCAGGTAATCTATTACATTTTGGGAAGAGATCATTGCTGCTAGTGTTTTTTAGAAACTTCTGATTTGATAACTCTGTTCCAGGGAAGGTTAGAGCAGAAAGATTTTAATATCAAGGAAGAAGCAAATGGAACTGGTAAAGTGATCATAAAACGATTTGACGCCACAGTGGCAAACAATACCCTAGAAATCCGCTTGTATTGGGCTGGGAAAGGGACTGTATATATTCCAAACTCTGGGAATTATGGTCCCCTCATATCTGTTATTTCTGTATGTCGTGGTAAGTCATGCTTTTTTTAATCAGTCTTCATTCAAAGAGAGCTGCTAGTGCTACAACTTTTGGTCCTTCAGTTGAAAAAAAAAAAAAAAAAAAAAATTCAGGTCATATTCATTTGTCCTCTGTCTACTGGTTACATACTATGGAAGGAGAGACAATTTAAACCCACTTTGTTCTATTATATGACTTCATCTAATCTTGTTGAAAGACATACGAGTATATGAGATGAAAATTGGAGTTATATATTGTTCATCACCCCCGAGTAGCAAATATCATTAGTGAGTGTAATTTGCTGTTCACAAACCATAGAAGGGTGATACTGCCTTCAATAAAAAATGTGACCATTTTTTTATTTTTTATTTTTGTTGTCACAATAAGACGCAGATAAAGACAAAAAAATAAATCAATCTAAATAAGGCATCCAACTCTAAAGCCAAAAACCAACATAGTCATGGCTTTTACTCACAAGAAAAGATAGTTTCCGCTCTCCTGAGTGGTTTTTCTACTTGATGTAAAAGACATCTCCCAAATCAAGTGCTAACCCTCTGACATGTTTCATGCTAGTTGATATCCTGCAGACTTGTTTCATATATATAATTATATACTATAATACTTTGAACTTTGGTTTGATGAATATCTTTTCCTTTACCACCTTAATTTGTTCTCTGATAAGCATAAGCTTTTGGTGTTAATTTCAGGTTTCAGATCAAATTGTGACGGTGAGAAATAAACAACTAAGTTATAATGATCAATTTTCTGCAAAATAACAATGTTTGCTATGATTTCTTTTAATAGTCATCCCTTGTTTCTTCTTGGCACAAATATTACTTAGCAGAGCCTAAGGAAACAAAAAATGTACCTATCATGATTGGAGTTGTCATTTCGGTGTTATGCATACTTCTTATGATCCTGGGATTCTTCTGTTGGAGATGCTATTTTCAGCATAAAAACACAAGAGAACAAGGTATGTGCTAAACCTTGTGTTTTATTCAAACTTAAGCAATAAATAAGTGAGTGCATGGCACAAACAAATGCATCATAAGTACAAAACAGTTAGACATAGTTTTGGCTTAGTTTTCCTACAATTCCTAAGTTGACTTGTAGATAATCTCTCTTCTCGTTGAATGTTACTGGGCAGATCTTAAGGGGCTAGATCTACAAACAGGAACCTTCACTTTCAGACAGCTAAGAGCTGCTACTAACAATTTTGATGCTACAAACAAGATTGGCGAAGGTGGTTTTGGATCAGTATACAAGGTACTAAACAACTATATTTTATTGAAGAATGATAATTCCAGTAGTGTCAATGCATTAGAAAATGTTTATACATATACACCACTGAGAACAATATCCTTGAAATTGACACCAAAAAGTTAATTGTGAGGGAACTTACTGGACTTTTGACGTGGTTGATGAAAAATCTAAATATTTTGTATTTTATTTTTGACTAACCTTGACGATGCAAGAAGAAGCACACCTATATATATATATATATCTTACTCAAAATATCAGCAAAGGAAAAGACGATGTTCTTCAACAATTAACAAGCAAAAGATCAACCTTGTTTTAATTTCTTTTCTCAACCAGGTTAAAAATTTCTCTAATCAGTTCAAACGTTGTATTTTGAATAATATGTGGAAGTAAGACGCTTATTATATATGTTCCCTCTTAAGGGTATTTTGTTAATTTAAGACCGCTATTTTAGCTTAGATTGTTTAATTCAATAACTTTATGTTGGATTTCATTACTAACCCTTGGTTAGTCAGTTTTAAGCTATTTAATCACATAACTCAACATTTAGCATAAGACTGTAGACATGAATGTGTTACATATAATAATTACTCAAAGCAGGGCCAACTATCAAACGGAACTGTAGTTGCTGTGAAGCAACTTTCTTCCAAATCAAGGCAAGGAAATCGAGAGTTTGCGAATGAGATAGGCCTGATTGCTGGTTTGCAACACCCAAATCTTGTAAAGCTTTTTGGATGTTGTGTTGAAGGAAATCAGTTATTGTTGGTTTATGAGTACATGGAAAATAACTGTCTTGCGCATGCACTTTTTGGTAAGCACGGTGATGTTTGTTTTTGAATTGCTTTTGCATAAAGGAATGCTTTCTGTTAATATATTTCTTGATTGGTTAATTGAATTGTTAATAAATTCAGGGGCAAGTACCTTGAAATTGGACTGGGCAACAAGGCAAAAAATATGTGTTGGAATCGCTAGAGGTCTAGCATTTCTCCATGAAGAATCAACACTCAGGATAGTTCACAGAGACATAAAAGCTACAAATGTACTACTTGACTGGGAATTAAATGCTAAGATATCAGACTTTGGATTAGCTAAACTCAAAGAAGAGGAGAACACCCATATTAGCACTAGAGTTGTTGGAACTATGTGAGCTACACTATTGTAGAGCATGATTTCTGATCTCTAAATTTATAATTTAGTGTGAAGGTTTAAGTTTTTGACATTTTGATTGATTCCGGAGGCTATATGGCTCCAGAATATGCGCTATGGGGTTACCTCACAGAAAAAGCAGATGTTTATAGCTTTGGGATGGTTGCTTTGGAAATTGTTTGTGGGAGAAGCAATGCAAGTTACTGGGCACAAAATGGATGTGTTTGCCTTCTTGATTGGGTCAGTTTCATGTGAATATATGTTTGTTGCTATGCATGGTTTTCAAATATTTTTTATTTTCTCTTTTGGCTTGGATGGTTGCAGACCTTTAATTTGCAACAGAAAGGAAACTTGATGGAGATATTGGATCCAAAGTTGGAGTATAAGTTTGACAAAGAAGAGGCTGAAAGAATGGTAAAAGTGGCTTTGTTATGCTGTAATGCATCTCCAGCATTGAGGCCTACTATGTCAGAGGTGGTTAGTATGCTTGAATCACAAACCATCATTCAAGAAGTGATCTCAGATCCTAGCATCTATGGCAGTGATTTCCAATTACAACAACTTGACCAGAATTCTAGAGGAAACTTGGCCGCTCCAAACTTTTCTTAAGATAAAACGTGGGTTGGATCTTCCACCACATCTACACATGATCTCTACTCTATCAATTCAGAGCGCACAAGAAACCTTACATCAATGGAGGATCTCTGTCAACTCAATTCTGAGACCATATTTCTAAACCCTAGTGGGAGTTCTTCGGTTTTACATAATAGTTCTAAAGTTTAATTTATGTAGGATGAACTAGATAATTATAAATTTTCTGTCCTCTAAGGCCTGTCTGCCATACAATTTCATGACTGAAGGTGCTTCTTTAGCTTGGTTTGAAGATGTTTTGTAATATTATTTCCGTGTTAGTGTAATTTTCAGCAAGGCCATGCATTCTCAAACTTGGCGTATTTATTCTGTTTTATTCAATCTAGGGATCTGTAAAGTTTAACTCTACCCCTTAAAATATATATTTTGATGATTTATTTATTTATTAAATTTTGTAGATTAACCCCTCCAAATTTAACTCTACCACAGATTATCATTATTATGACTGGTAATTACAAGTGTATAATTATAAAGAAACAATAAAACTTGTAGCATTTAACAATATTATACATTTACATTTTCCCCTCTAATAAAAGTATCAAAATATAGGTCCAAAGATAAGGAAATAAAGTTGGGCCAAATTTGATTCTAAGTAAAAGGAAGTAGCACAGAAGCTCATGTGACAATTGACAAGTCAAAGAACTTGAAAGAAAAGATGCAACGTAATGGGCAATCTTCAAGGTCTTTTTTCAGTATTTAAAGAAAAAAAAACCTCTAACTAGAGTGTCAAGTACGTTTGTTATCAAAATGTCATTTTTAACATAACATATCCAATTTTCTTAGTGTCCACATGATGAAGGGGTCGGCAAGTTGCAGAAAATTCGTGTATGAAATCTGAACAAAACAACAGACATGGAATAAATGGCGCTGGAGACTTTTCAAGCACCAATATCTCGTAAGTTACACATGTATGTGAACAATCAGAGCTGCTAGAGCCTTATTAAGTTTGAAGTGGTCCAGCTCTGTCCCTTGAAATTACTTTGCTTACATGGATTTATAGATTTTAGTCTTAATACATATGATATTATATACTTCAGCTGTGATTTCTCTTGCCGACATATACCTCCAATTATATATAGATATTCAGCAAAGACTTGTATTATTGATTCATGGAAAGCTGGCAACAACCATTAATCCATGCATCAATAATTTGCACGACTAGAACAGTCTCTTTCTAGTTCCTCTTTATTTTCCACTAAATTTCAGACTGTCTACTCACATCAATGATGTTTGTTGATAATTACTGGTTTCTTTGATACTTCAGCCGTTGACTCCATATTCCAGACTTTAAGATAAGAAAGAACACTTACCCTTGGCTCTTAGGATTTTAAATATATATATCAGCTAGTTGATCCTGCACATCATTTACTCCCTCTTCTCATGCCTATATACAAGTTGAAATTCTATCAGTTACAGATTATTTTCTACTTCGTCAAAAAGAAAAACAGAAATATGTTGATGTTTATGAAGCAGCAGTGGTTTCTTCTACTTTGTTTTATGATCATTTTATCTTGCTTTCGGCCTCTAAAATGTGCTCAGCTTCCACTGCACCCTGACGAAGGTAAATTAATTAGTTTCAGCATTATCTTTTTATCCTTCTCTACTCAAGCCTAATCTTTAATCAACATGTGTCTAATAACATATATATCGTTTTATCTTTAATATGTTAATGTTGTTGAGGAAATAATAAGGAAAAGAAATGAGAGGAAAATTATAAATATGTTCATGTCATTGAGGTGATATAGAATTAACTATGTATTCTGATATGGATCGGTGGATTTTATTCTTTATTCATATGATATATATTATGTATGGTAATGGTATATTCATATATATTATCCAATAAGACTTTCATATGTGGATATATTTATATAAACATTTTTGTGATTTTCAAAACTTATCATTATGTATTTAGTAAATTAGGTTTTTAAATTGTTGTTGTATGTATAATGGCAAAAAGAACATGTTTTACTTCTTAAAATACTTTTATAAGTATTTCATAAATATTAAAAAAAAAATATATATATATATATATACTACAATAATTTATATCAAATAAATTATTATTTAATTAATAATTAAAAAAATTCAAGATGAAATTTGATCTAGTTGGTGGTAGGGGTGTGTAAAAAAAACCATTAACCAAGCCGAACACGATAACCGAACTGAACTGATTCCAAATTTTTTTGTACCCAAAAATTTGGGTCGGTTTTGGGTATTTATTATGTGATACCCGAATTTTCTGTTCGGGTATCGGGTATTTATTTTAAGAGAACCGGGTACCCGGTACCCGGTTTATTAAGAAATAAAAAAATAAAAAACCTAGTTTTTAAACCTATTTTCCTTTAACTTTCAAAGAGCAAGAGGCAAAATCCCTAAATCTTAAGTATTTAAGTTATTAAATTAAAAGTTGATTTAGTATTGATTTAGTATATGGAAGGAATTGTATTCACAAATTCAAATTTGAAATGTAAAAAATTAAAATTCATTCAAAGTTATGCAAATTCAGGTACCTGAAAAACCGGGTATCCTTAAAAGCAGTTTAGTTTGTCGGTACCCTTTTAGGGGTACCCAAATATTCGAGTACACGGTTTTTCAAGCAAAATCGGTTCGGATACCCGGTTTTGCGCAGCCCTAGTTGGTGGTAGTCAACCTCTAGTCAAAATTGTCAATGTCGCTCAACTCCGATAAATTAATGGTCAACAATGGTGTATTGGGACACAAGTAGTCTTGTCAGGATCACGAAAGAGGTGATCTGTTGGAATCTAGTTGAATCATCAGATTCTAATGTTGAATGTGGCCACAAAAGGTGGCGAAAGGTTCAATCGCCTTGTACAGCTAAAGTAAGTGTCAAAATTTGGTGATTTTACCAAATTTCAACAAATCGTCTCATGTAAATCCCGATAGGATTGATTGTATCTTTAACGCACCATCATTGACCGGTAGTTGACCACTGCATATGGTGTTGACAACTATTGCTATTTCGATATCTTGAAATTTATAAATTATTTATTTAATCAATTAAATATTTAATTTAAGTTTATTTTGTAATTTAAAGAACTATGTACATATATGTTTATCATTCTACATATATAAAATCAACTTTGAAACTAATTTGATTTTTAAAAACTTCTTGAGTCCTTTACCGGCTTTTAGTAGTTTGAGATTTATAAGAAAAATAACGAAAAAAAATACAAAAAATATATAAAGAAGTATGCTTGAGATATATAAGTTGAGATTTACAAGCTTATATGAGTGTGTTTGGTTGAGGTAATTCCCTAATATTGAGGTAATGTCATCATATATTATTTATATTATCACGTTTGATTGTCAAGTAATAAAATATTTCGATAATCTTCCAAAACAAATAGTAATTATTGGTGGTTATATAGGTGGTAATCTGATTAACTTCATTTTATTAGATATTTTAAGATTATTTGGTAATCTTAATTTTGTTATAATTTTACCCCTTATTAATAAAATTTTAGGACAGTAATGCCCTTGTTATAAAAACAATTTACAAGAATTTTATAGACAATTTTTGCCTTATGCTCAAGATTTTAAAGATAGAATTATCCTTGTACTTCAACCAAATTATCAAGACCACAACCACCATTCTAGCCACCCAAGAGGACTGCCAACCGTCGGTCACCACCACCATCGTTAGTCATCGTAATGGCTCACGACCAACCAGATTTAACCAATTGTGTGCTAGTAAGGCCATTTCAAGATGAACATGTGATCCGTGGTCGGACGACCAAAGATATGCCATGAATCAGCCATATTTAGTCTTTTTTGGCACACGGCCTAACGGGTCCGATCGATCGTGTGCCATTCAAGAGATTGTTGGCGATGGTGGCTGGGTGTTTTTGTTACCTTTTAAACTTTTTTAATTGTTAGAATATTTTAGCTAAATCTGAATTGTTGGGGTTAAATAATATAATACAAATTAATAATAATATTAAAATATAAGGACAATTTAGTAATATAACCCTAACATATAATATACCGTCCAATTTATTCATTCCAACCAAACATATCAATATAACATACTCTTTAATTTACTCTTATCTAACAAAACATATTTTTAGTAGGATTCCTAGTTTCAAGGTTAACATTCTCAGTAATACAATATTTCTTGAACCAAACGCCCCTAATAATAAGAGGCAGCATTAGTCTTGTTAAAGGAAAAGATTTGAACTTTTATTTTTATAAAGAACAAAGTTCTGATGTATTCAACTATAGCGCCAATATATGTTTCCCTTTTTTATCCTTCTGAACTACTGATTATATGCAGCCATCGTTCTCAAGCAAATGGCTGCAACAATGGGCTTCACACTCTTGAATTCCACAAAGGATCCTTGCCAATCACATATGCTCCCAATAGCCACTTACCACCTAGAAGCAAGTAATCCCACAACCCCAACCAACATAATCCTTTGTAACTACACTTCTGGCAATTACTCTCACATCACCAACATGTAAGTCCTCTCTTCTTCTTTCACTTTCTCTTTGTTTTCATTTTAAATTCAGTTTGATGAATTGTAATGGGGCTTTTTGAACAACTGATATATATCATTGACATTTCTTACTTGGACTGCAGATCACTCAAAGTTCAGAGTTTTCAAGGCAGGCTTCCACCGCAACTTGTCAACCTTAAGTTCCTCCGGTTCATGTAAGAAAAAAAAATATATCGCACTATCAGCTCAACTACTTTCACTCTCATTAATTATCTTCTCCTTAACAGTGATTTCACTTGCAACTATCTCAATGGCACTCTTCCAAAAGAATGGGCTGCATTGCGGCATTTGGACACTATGTAAGTTGGCCCGGTGTCAAACTCTCCGAATGAAGTTTTGCTTCAATTTTATAATTATATGACCAGTGAATTTAATCCCTTGCAGCTCCGTTACTGCCAACCGCTTAACGGGGGAAATTCCACCGGATTGGGGCAATATTACCAATCTCATTTACTTGTACACTTTAGAAATTCAATATATCTGTTGTTTCTATGTAAATGCATGGTTTCCTGTTTATACTCATGGTTTTAATAAAAACAAAATCTAGGAGCTTGGAAGCCAACCACTTATCTGGAAGCATCCCTGAGAAGCTTGGGAAATTGGTCAATTTAAACGTCCTGTATGATATCATTGCTCTTAATATTTCAATTACCAAGGTGTTTGATTATCAATAATTAAATTTATCAAAAAATGTTTAACTAAGCTAGTTTTGTGCATGATCTCACAATTTAGGTCACTTTCCTGCAATCAGTTTGTTGGAAGCTTGCCTGAAACACTAGCAAACATCAAGAACATGAATAATTTGTAAGTTCTCACACTTTTTTTTTTTTTTTTNAAAAAAAAAAAAAAAAAAAAACTTATTTTCTTTCTTATAAACTTATGATTTAGAAACAGTTATCAAAATCTATACAAACAAATCAAACCGATATTGGAAAAAATATTTCTTAAAAATAACTATAAATAACCCAAGCCCATCTATTCACAATCAAACTTATTAAACAAATAAATGACGAGTGAATTACAATTTCCCACCCAAGGTTTATCGTGATTATTTTCCCACCCAATTTTTTTTAAGAAAAATAGTTTTCCACCCATCGTTGAGATCATTTTGTTAACTTCAACTGAACAAGGACAAAATGTTAAACTTTAACTTAACAATGACAAATAGGGCTGTACAAAATCGGGTACTCGAACCGGTTTTGCCCAAAAACCGGGTACCCGAATATTCGGGTACCCCTAAAAGAGTACCTGCAAACCGAACCGCTTTTAAGGGTATCCGGTTTTTCGGGTACCCTAATCTTCGGGTCAAAAACCGGATACCCGGTTTATGATTCGAATTTGAATATTTTTGCAGAATTTTAATTTTTTACATTTCAAATTTCAATTTGTGAATACAATTTCTTCCATATACTAAATCAACTTTTAATTTAATAACTTAAATACTTAAGATTTGAGGTTTTTGCCTCTTGCTCTTTGAAAGTTAAAGGAAAATAGGTTTAAAAACTAGGTTTTTTATTTCTTAATATACCGGGTACCCGGTTCTCTTAAAATAAATATCCGATACCCGAACCGAAATTTTGGGTATCACATAATAAATACCTGAAATTGACTCGAATTTTCGGGTTCGGTTTGGTTAACGGTTATTTTTGCACACCCCTAATGACAAGATAGTAAATTCACAAATGTGGTAGATGTCTATCGAGCAGTAATATTAGGTCTACAATCTTCTCTCACAACCCCCGACATGATAGTTCGTAATTGATTAGCTTACAAATAAGTAGACAGGACCCACAGTAAGCAAACATGATATATTTACGAGTTGACTAATTATAAGCTATCACGTCAGAGATTATGATAGAAATTTGTGAGATTAGATTGTGGACCTAGAATTACTCATCTATCGGGTGAGGCGAATACAAAACCTCTGGGTATAATTGACTTCGGCCGGGGGGTTTGGCATCCGGTAAAGAAAGAGAGGTAAATTCAGTTTGTTTTTATTAAAAATCAGTCATCATTAATTTTCAATTAAATTAAAAACAAAAACAAATCAAGAGTGTTACGGAGATATAACCCTAGTTAGTAAAAACGCGTATTATACGCGAATTATACGGACAGCCGTATAATTCGCGTATAAAACGTCCGTATACGTATTTTCTAAAATCTGCCGAATTATACGCGTATTTTAAGCCCTCCCGAATTATTCGCGAATTATTGAAAAAAAAAAAACAAAAAAGGTCACCCCCAAAACGACGTCGTTTTGTGGGTTTTTTTACTAAAAATTAAAGCAGATCTCAGTTTCAGTTCTTCACTTCTTCTTCGTTCTTCCTTACTTCAGCTCTTCTTCCTCAAATCTTCACGTTTTCAGCTTTTCTTCATCTCTTATTCTCTTTCCAAATGTGAGCGTATAAATAACTCCGGCCTTCACATTCACACTCTGAGAAATTGAAGCTTCGTTGCCTAGCCTTACCGCATGAACACCACGAGGCACCGCGAAGTAAAACCCACCATGACATTTCAGTTACATATTCAAGCTGAAACTGAAATCATTAATGANGTTAAAAAAAAAAAAAAAAAATTGTACATTTAGAATTTTTTTTTTTTTAAAAAAAAAAATGTATGACATACATCCCACAATAAACCTTTGTCTTTGCAACATTGAACTGCTCCATCAAACATTTCGTCAAGCCGTACTTATACTTAAACCCATAATCCAAGAGCTTCTTTGATGAATTTCGAAGTCTTTTATAAGCTTTAATCTCCTTAAAACGTCTGTAATAAAACAAAAAGGTCAACTGTTTAATCCAGTAGAAGCTTTGATATTAAATGCAATCAAAAAAGAGAATTGAATTAATAGAAACTCACTCTGCAGATGGTAGTTCAAATTCTAGGTATTTGGCTGGGAAATATTCAAATATTTCATTAATTATCAATTCTGAGTGATAAAGAAATATACATTCTCTTCAAATTAGGATTTAGGATATTCAAAAAGGAAGATTTGTACAAACACTCCATCATCACAGACCATATTATATGATCTCGATTCCCTATATACATAAAATTATTCACATTATTGTTTTGAAACTTGGATAATCAATCATAATTAAAACATTAAAATGAACAAAGGGAGGACAAACTCAATATCATAGTGAGAAAATGTAAACGGATGAGGGCATAGTAGGGCAAATGAAGGGTCCAACAACCAAGGGAAGAACCAAAGACACAAGATTTAGTTGTGACAATACGGGTTAAAATATCAAAAGGCCAAACGATATCCTCCCACCCGAACTTTACGCTACCAACAATTTTATATCAAAAAGTTAAAAAACGACAATTACCCATCTTCTGTCAGAATCCTTTTGAAGAAGGACAAGATGATAAGCAGCCAAAAAAATCTAATATTGTTCACTCTCTTTAATATTAGTTTTATAATAACTCTCTTTTCAATTTTCATATTTTATTTTTGCAATTAATTTTAATTAAAATTTTAGAATCCCCTGCAATGGCAAACATATTCACCGAACCACAAATATATCAGCATCTTTTTTTTTTTATTTGTTTGTGTACAATGCAGTTCAATGAAAATTAGAGAGGCATCTTAAATTTTCTTCCCCACTTGTGCAGCGTTCAATGAAAATACATTATGCCAAAACTAGTTACCATTCTAACCAAAAACTTACATTTTTCTTCATTCAAACACTTGTTCTTCAGTATAGCTCAGGACCACCATTGTTAAAGGTTTTTGAAGAATGAAAAAAGGGAGAATAAAGGAAAAAAAGAAAGATAAGAGAAAGAAAAGAGGCGGAGAAGATGAAGAGATGAGATGGATGGCAATAGAAAATGAAGTAAAAGATAATAAGAAAATAGGAGAAAAAAATTAGGGATTTGTGATGAAGGCAATATGAATGAGCATAAGTACCAATAAGTAAGCAACATACAATATGTGATGAAGGCAATATGGTCTCTTTAGAAGTGACAAATATGAACAGAAAAAAAGAGAAATGCTTACCAAGGAAACCTTTTTCTATNGATTGCACTTAGGTCGTCGAGGAGTGGCATTCCTAAGATGACGTTATAGGTGGTTGGGCAATCAACCACTAAGATTTTTACCATCATTATCTTTATCTGAAGCTTCTCCCCAAGAGTCATAGGCAGCTCGATTATTCCCTTGGGGACTAAGCTATCCCCAATGAACCCATACAACGATGATGGGCATAATCTCAAATCTCGCTCGGTGATCCTCATTTCTCAAAAAGCTCCCAAGAAGATGATATTCACTATACTTCCATTATCGACCATTATTCGGAGGACTCAAGCATTTTCAATCCTGGCCATGATTACAATCGCATCATAGTTATGGCAAGGGGATTTGTTGCATTCCTCCTTAGTAAAGCATATCATCTCACTTTCCATTTTAGGCCGCTTTGGCGATTTCACCTCACAATTAATTACTTGGTTGACCGAGTCTGTCTTGGCTTCTCGCACATATTGCTCGTGAGAATTCCTGGAGCTTCCTACAACATCGGGTCCCTCATAAATCATACCCACCAATACACTGTCTACTGGTTGGGCTTGTCGCAAACTTGATTCTGTCTTACATACTTTTTTAGATGTCCCTTCTTTATTAGGTCTTCAATGGCATCTTTCAAAGCTCATCACTTATTCGTAATGTGCCAAATATGCTTATGGAACCTACAGTACTTCTGGTGGTCCCTTCTCCCTGGTGCCCCTTTCATCCTTTTTTATGGAGGTAGCTTCCTAGCCTCGCAAGAGACTTCTTAGATGTAAGCCACATCTTCTGCCAGAGGAGTATACTCTACGTACCAAGGAAATGTTGTCTTTCCCAACGAGGACTTGTACGCTACCTTTCTTGGTACCTGTTATGGTCCTTATCACCTCGGTCTTGGCCTTTCCATTTCTCTAATGGGTAGTCTTGCTGTTGATCAAAGGCTCTTCTTGAGGAACTACCAGCTAAGGCAGGTAGTGAGCTCTCAACTCGTTGATGTTTAACCACCATTTGATAGAATTTGGCCAAACTGACGTAGTCTTCACTTTGGAGTTCTTTCCATAATTTTGTTTGCAGTCTTATCCCAACGATCAATAAGGTTTGAATTGATTCTTCTAGAGCATCTGTAACTTTGGACTGCTCGTTATGGAACCTTGTTAAATATGAGGTTAAAGTTTTGTCTTTCTCTTGGCGAATACTTCTTAGATAACTGAGCGGCATGGCGAGCTTTCTCCTTGCTTGGAATTGTTGGAGATTAAGTGAGGAGAACTACTGCCACAATTGGATTGAATTCGCCTTTAGCCTTTTATACCACCTCTCGGCATTTCCTACCAAAGTGACTGCAAAACATCGGTACTTCGCCAAGTCGGAAACCTGATGTAATTTCATCAAGTCATTAAAATTATCAAGGTGGTCTCTAGGATCTCTTTCCCGTCGAACTTATTCTTGGGTGCCTTGAATCCCTAGGGAAGCGATGTTTGACGGACTTCCTCTGTAAATAGAGAGCTTATCATCTCTTCTGCCGAATTGTTCTGGCAGGCTCTAAGATCATCGAGCATTCTCTACACCTGATCTAAATCCTCATTGTGAGGAGGATTTTGACAGTGAGCTCTATTCAACCTTACCTCAAGCAGATGAGTCCGGAGATCAATCGCTTGCGAGCCTGCTTTGTCATGCACACTAGTGCGCAAGATGAAGTCATGATGGCTGGGATAGTAGGTGATGTCATGCTCCTCGGTACATTGCTCGTGACGTTGGTTAAAGCTGGAATGTCGGTTGTTGCCAAAATGAAATTCATGGCTGACCTCGCGGACTTACGAGTTTGAGCTTGCCTTTGGCCTAGGTTAAAACCGGCATGCTGGCATTAGGCATTTCGTCAATTTGGCCGAGAGTCCTTTTGGCGACCATTGTCTTCATTTTCCCCTATGGGCTGTTTGCCTAGTCACTTCCCAGGGTTAACCTGCCCCTAAGATTCACGCTCGTAAGCGAAATGTGCCTAGCAAAGTCTAGGGTAACAGTCGCTCTTTGCTACCGATGAACCAAATTGGTCACTAGCAGAGTTATTTTTCCCACTGTGTGTAACCTTGGTGAAACGTGGCTAATCGAGATTCTGGTTGACCTGCTGCTCGTTCCTTAAGTCAGCCACATTCTATTGCACCACTTGTGCAACCAGCGTCCTTATCATCTCCATCAACTGTCCATTCTTGGGATTAGAGGTCCCTACCCCTAATTAATTTGCTACTTGTTGCATCGGTGGTACTAGCGGTTGGCCTGGAGTAGTTGTTTGATTCACCTCCTGGTGGGTGGCTTCCATATTGTCGTGGTTTTCAGTGGTTGCTTTGGATCTTGTATAGGCCATTGGGAATTTCAGGTGATCAGTTGTTCACTAAAGTTGTTGTTTTTTGCCGAAAATAAGAGAAGTAGGCTGAGACCCTCCTTCTAGCACCAAAATGTTGATACGAAAATCGCATCAACCTGAGAGAACCAATTGACCTTGGTGGAATCGGAATGGATGTGTGCATGATTAAAGATAACCAGCAATTGAATGTAAATGTGTGTAAAATATGTAAAGAACACAAAAGGATTTTTAAAGTGGTTTGGCAAGTTAGAACTTGAGTCTACGTCCACTGTTATCTTATTGCTTTTTAGGGATTACAAGAACAATAAATCTGCCTAGAATAATTTGCTAACCCCTCTCTCATCATTTGAGGGGGTTCATATACCAATTTGCAATTAATAGGGGGAGATAAGTTTGGGATTGCAATCAAAGTTGGTTTGTAATCCCGTGATCTTCATGATCATGCGCTGAGATTGCGTTGCCAGAAGTGTTGATCTTATTCCTTCCAAAATATCCGAGATTGGAGTTTATCTTTGATTTCATTGAACAACTGTTTGGATTGATCACTGGGACAAGCTTCGCCTGGGTCGAGCTTACTCTGAATCAAATTGATTTTCAGTCGAGCTTGTTCTTGGTCGAACTACTTTCTGCAAGCTTCCAAGATCTGCAAGCCCTTATGGCAAAAATCACACACAACAATCCTAGTGGAGGAAATTAATGACTAGTCTTAATTAATAATTATATTATAAAAACTGAACATCATTAACTCGTCTCAAGCTGAAATATTATTCTGTCAACAGTTACGATGTTTATGAAGCAGCAGTGGTTTCTTCTACTTTGTTTTGTGATCATTTTATCTTGCTTTCGGCCTCTAAAATGTGATCAGCTTCCACTGCATCCTGCTCCTGACGAAGGTAAATCAATTAGTTTCAGCATTAATTAATTATACTTATTATCTTTTTAGCCTTCTCTATTGAAGGTCTTAATCATTATATTAATCAACATGCATCTTATAAGAATATATCGTTTCATCAGTTTATGAAGCCTTGTGGTAATTAAGGCTCTTTTAGCTGGTATAAGAGAGGAATTATAAGGAAAATAAATTAAAGAAATGAGAGGAAAATTATTAATATCTTAATTTTATTGAAGGATATAAATTAGAGAATAATTAATCAAGTAATCTCATATGTTTATTCTTAATACATATGATAAGATGGGTAATACTTTTGTTGATGCTGTCATATGTTTTATCGACACAATTATAGATAATATTTTTAGATTTATTAATGATTTTTAAGTAAAAATCAAAATTTTAGTTAGGATTTGATTGTAATAGTAGTGTCTTGTGCTTGGTGGGGTATGAGATTGGATAAGAATGTTTATATTAAAAAAATATTTTAAAACTTTTAAAACTAATTTAACAAAAAAATTTTAATTATTAAATACTTCTAACATTTTAAATTATTTTATAAATAATTAAAAAATTTATGTGTTAGATAGTGAGTTAACTTATACATAGTAAATGAAAAAATACATAACACAATTAGAAATATTTAAATGTCATTATGAATTAAAATTAAAATTTACTTTGTAATATTATTTTAATTTTGTTATGCCTAAAAAATATGAGGGCTGACGTCAGGTCCTTTCAGCCCACAAAAGTCAGGTCATTGGAACAACCACCGCTTGCGTCCGTCAGGATAGTGGGTGCGCGTCAGGCTAGTCAAGAGCTATGGTGCTCCCACGTGTCCAATCCCTGCTCTAAATCGCGCGAATCACTCTGGAAGGTGGGCAATGTGACATAAAGAAGGATTTGCATGGATAATCCCACCAACTTACAGATTTAGTGATCATTGCCTCATGGCATCTCACTATATATTTGAAGTTCATCTCTCATTGAAGGGGATTAGCACATTTTACACTTGATTAATTACTCTCTTTTTCCTAGAAATCTCGGCATTTGATACCTTGTAACATTATTGTAAAGTCAGTCAACTAAAAGCGACCTGACCTTTATCATCAATACAAGCATCAGTGGACGTAGGACTTGCTACCTTAGCATCCGAACCACTTTAAAAATTGTCCCCATTGCATTTACTATCTCTATATCCATTACATTCACGTGTGTCTTTTGGGTCCACACAACATTTCACACATGCGTTTCGTTGGTGTAAAATCACACATCAACAGTTTGGCGGTAGAAGGAGGGCCCGATTTAGTGTTCATCCTTCATCAGAAGAATCTCCGACTTATCGGTCCTACAGCAACAAATGGCTCGCCAACTAGAACATGAGCGAACCAACCAGGGTACTGAGGGGCCCCCCCAAGTTCAGGGGATACTTCTTCCAAAAAACCTTCAGCCCCGCAAAACGCTGTGGGAGATATCCCGTCAAGTTCACAGCTTGACCCCGTTATAAGAAGCTACTTGGAGAGGTTTGACAATACTCTCCAAACGGTCAACCAAAGGTTGGACCGTTTGGACCAAGACGCGCCATCTAAGTCAGCTGTGGCGGTGCAACCGCCAAAAACGCCTGCAGGTCGCATGAAAGTGCGGCAAAGGGAAATAGCCCGTGCCGCGAGTACTACAGCGCAAAGACGAAAGGGTAAGCAAGTGGCAAAAAGCAAGCCCACGGGCTCCGAAGGGCCAGCAAACACCCA